AAAAGTGGTGGCCGGTCGGCACTAATGGGGTGTCTACAGTTGCCCCTCTTTGACAGAACTCGAAAGTCATAACAATGATGGGAGTGATTTATATGGTGCAGCCAGAAAACTTTGTGTCAGGAGACCCAAAGAATATGGTTTGCAAATTGACTAAATCCATCTATGGACTCAAACAAGCTTCTCGTCAGTGGTACTTCAAATTTCATCAAATTCTCACTTCGTATGGTTTTGAAACTAATGTTGTTGATGAATGTGTGTATCACAAGTTCAGTGGGAGTTTGTATTTATATTACTGCTTTATGTCAGCCTTGAGTTTTATCTATGTAATTAGATTAATTTCTGCAGAAATGAAATATTCAGTTTATTATGCTCTGTTACGTATTGTGAAGTATTGATCTCAATAAAGTTAAGTAGGACTAGTTGGAAATAGGCATGTATGGATCACATCACATGTAATTTCCATGCTACGCATCCATGATTGATCTATGTCATTTAGCTGTATTAGTATACGTGACCATTGGTGGGTCGAGTTACGATTGATGTAACGAAGACCGCTTTGATCCTATGTTAATATAGTTAATGGACAAGATTGTTTGGGTACCCTCAAGTTATGATAACAAATTTCTGAGCTCACTAAAGTTAAGCACATTTTTCAGGATACATATGTGGTCCAGTGGGAGATTGTTAGATAATGTCTCAATGGGTCCACATAATTAAATGTGGTGTTATCATTTATAAGAAGCCTACAATTTAAGTGATTCAATTTAGTTAATAGGCTTAAGGGTATATGTGTTATGGACCTAATGTGTAGATACTAGTTGTATAATTTCTATTTCTATGAGGGGCAGAAATAGAAATTAAAACATATTGGTTAAAGTTGGTTTTTATTACCTTTCAGTTATGAAACCAATAATGGTTAATTTATTGGTTTTCATTACCTTTCAGTTATGAAAACCAATTACAACCTTTAAAAGGTTATGGTCCCTATTCCTTCCCAAGAGTGAAAAAAAAAACAAGAATACTTTTTTGTTTTCTAAATCCTCTCAAGGAGAAACATAAGGCACATAAGGGAAAGGATTAGAAGGCTCTAACAAAGTCAATATTAAGGTTTTATTGACAATCAGACGCTTCCGTTTAACCGTTCATCAATGGATTCAGGTATGTCATTTTGTCTTGATCTCTTGATAATACACATGGTAAATGATCCGAAACATGAAGTTCTGAAATTTATGTTAACATCAAGATCATGTTCTTTTATGTTATCCCACATGGGTTATATATATATATATATATATATTTAAATTTCATCTATACATTTCATGTTTTGAGTATTTTTAATTTTAGGTATCTCTTGTTATTATTTAAGGATGCAAATTGAGTGGACACAATCTAAACTACTGAAGTCTAAATTGCAAAATTTTAAGATTTGAATTGCAGAATTTAAAATTTGATCAAAACTTTGGTTAAATTTTTCTGACCCGAATCAAATTCAAAATTTTAGCTCAAATTCTCATAATTCAAACAACCCAACTTTTAAGTATAATATTAATATAATAAACATGAAATATACATATAAAATACTAATTAACTTTTCATTAGATTAAACCATCTTGCAATGTAATATATTTTATTGTTTGGTAGGCATACCTGAACAAATTTTCTTATTATGTTCTATATTTGTAATTTTATGAGATATTTTTTATAAAAACAAATTCAATACATTAATTTAGGACAAAAAATTTTTTTTTTTTTTTTTTTTTAAATTTTGTGATTGTCATTGCGATTCTGGGATTATTGTTTTCAAAAATTGAGTTTGGGAATATGCAAGTAAGTTCAAGCTACAAATCAAGTTGGACCAAATTTTAATAAATCTTTGAGAAATTAGGATAAATTAATTTACGTGAAGTGTTTTTGAAATTTAAAAAAAATACAATTTGTTTTATATTTTTGATGTAATTATACTATTTTTTTTTTTTTTGTAAAACTAAAATAGATAAAATTAATACATATGGTGTTTAGATACTGAAATAAACAAAATAAATATACATTTAAAAAAATAATATTATCAAATTTTAAAAAAAGTGAATGTAATTTATCTAAAAAAAATTATTTTAATATATAATATATTTTGTGAGTGTGGTGACTTTGGAAAAATTAATAATGTATAGGGTGGAGTCACAAACTCAAATAATTGTGTGTAATTTCCTCCGTGGCAGGGACATGACCACGAGAGTGTCACAACCATCACTGACTTAAGAATCTCCCATGTCACGTGCCTTGCCAGACAGGGCACGTGTCGTGTCCAAAATCTGGTACATTTATATGGGAAAGAGACTTTCCTATTAATAAGAGAGAGAGGCAATGTAATTAAAACCCCCATCCATTTGTCTCTCTCGACCATTATCATGTGAGGTTTTGAAATTTCAGGACCCCACTTAGGGATGTCAAAATACTCAATTCAATTATATTTATTTTAATTTAATTTTAAAAGAAAAGATTTGAGGAAATATTAAAAGGGGTAAAATTAATTTCTAATATATAACTAGATAAGTCAAAATTGTTAAGATTAGACTAAAATATGAAATTGTATCACAAAATTAGTTATATTTGAAATTATAAATTTGCACACAAAACCTAAAATTATCTGACCCATTATCATACCCTAATTGATATGACTGAGACATTCACTTAGGTTTCTTTTGACAAAGAGATTAAAAGTAGTTTTTTGGGATTCACCTCCTCTCCAGTCCTTTACAATCCGGCACTCTCTAGCCATATCTACCAAATAGAGACGCGTGACGACAACAGATCCGACGAGTGAGAAGGGAGCCATATCTTTGAAGCTCAAGAGACAAACAAAATGACGCTAATTTTTGTCATTTTGGCCAAATAGAGTGTAAGTAACTGGAACCCTTCATATACACTCTTTTTCTGTAGACCAGATCGAAAATTGAACCTGTGGGGATATATTTTCTGAATACCAACACGTGGCATGGTGACGCCGACGTGTCAGCCGAGGTGCCACGTGCCCTGGTAGTTAAGCCGAGGTAATCTCGGAGAAGCCGAGGTCATCTCCGAAGATATCGGAATCCGAGATAAGGGGCAAGAGTCCTAAGGCAAAAAGGGGACTTAACCAAGATAAGAATAAAGCTCTTAGGGAGTTTATCTTTATCTCTTAAAGAGTTCAGAGTAAACAGTAAATTAGAGTTCATAGAAGTCATACTTCTAGTGGGACTTGGATTGAGTATATTATAAAAGAGAGGCACCCCCGTGGGTCTAAGGTATGCAATTTATGTTTTGAATATTCAGTTTAGTACTTGATTATCTTTGAGAGATATACTGACTTGATCGTCGGAGTGCCCCCGGGTGGAAGAACCACCGCCGGAGCTTTTTCTTTCTGTTTCAGGTTGCCTAAGCCATCTATTCTGCCTGTGCTCTCCAGCTGATCACTAAACGGGCAGTGTGGTCAGATTTTCACCCACACAGAACCCCCTCTCTCTCTCTCTCTAGAAGCCCTAAGTCCCCAAATCTCCTCCAATAACAACCAAGAAAAGGACAGATTTTTTTGTTTTCTTTGTTTTTTTTTTTTTTATATATATAAACCCTCTCCATTCCCCATGATTATGAAACAAGTTGTTTGATGGGTAGGCATTTCAATAAGGTTTTTTTTAAAAAAATTTTATAACTATCCGTTTACGTTTAATCCCCATGAAGAAATCTGTGTGATTATGAAACAAGCTATTTGGTGGGTAGGCATTTCAGTAATTTTTTTTTGTTTTTGTTTTTGGTGTTATAACTGTCCACGCCATGATGAAAACCTGTGTGACTATGAAACAAGTTGTTTAGTGGTAGGCATTTCAATAAGTTTATGTTTTTTATTTTTATAAATCCTCTCTATTTAATCACCATGATAAAAACCTGTGTGATTATGAAAATAGACTTGTTGAAATGTGTTGTGATTTTGAAAAATGTTATTTAAATTGAAAAATGTGTGATTCTGTCTATACTCACATTTTGCATTACAAGTGTATGATAAAATGTCCCAATGAAATACTTTATGATTTTGAAAAATGAATTGTGTGTGATGAAATGCCTATTGACTGGGGAACTTAGTACTTATGCCTCTGTGAAATGCTTATGACTGAATATTAGAGTCCTCCATTTTCCATTTTCTTGGTTTCTTTTTCATTCTATGGGCAATTTGACATTATTAATATAGAGAGATTCTCCATCCTTAGTAGTGTGAAAAACCGAATATACAAATCAAGTAAATAATTAAATAATAATAATATTACGTTCTCAAAATATTTTGGTGGTGAATCCTAAAGTGTAAATTAAATATTTGGAAGGTCTTTTAATTAATTTTTAAACCTAAATAAATTTATAGTAAAAGTCTTTAATTTAGATGTAAGATTTATTATTTAAAAAATAAATAAATAAATTTAAGTGTCAAATTAGTAAGCATATTTTGATCTAATAATATTTATATTTTAATGGAGATAAAAATTAAAATAATATAAAGAGATAGTAAATTAGAGCCTTTTGGTTAGATACATATGTATCTAAAGATAACAAAAACTCTAACTCTTGTTATAATTGTTTTCCACAACACTAGATGCCCTAGCAGCCCTAGCAGCCGTGGGTTATGAAGGAAAGTAAGGGATGATTCAATCATCAAGATTATTGTTGTAGCCAAGAAGGAGAACTTTGTGTGTGTTGTGCCTTGTGGCCTCTTAGATTTTCTTCTCTTCTTTCTTTGTTCTTTGTCCTTATTCTATTGTTGTATAATTCATTGATGGAGAAGTTGTAGGTGTATATATTTTGTGTCTATATATATATATATATACTGTTAAGAAATCTGAGGAGTTACATTCATGTAAAAAGAATAGGTATTATTCTTAGTTCAAAAATTCTGTTCATAATCACGAACTTTAAAAATCAAGAAACCATATCAAACGAATGAATTTTTTTTACAGTAGATCAATTACATATTGAATTGCATATATGAATTTTTTCATAATATTTGGGAGTCAAAATCCATATAAACTGATGTGTTCAAATCTGTCCAGAAAACTGGTTTAAACAGTAAATTCGGGAGTGTTGTTCTCTTTGGGTATAAATCCAAAAATTATCAAATGAGCGTCATTAGAACCGGTTACAAGTCTAGTTTCGTACCTTTTTGGCCTTGCATTGATTGCTCATGTATACTAAGAGAACCATTAATTTCTTTAAAGTGCTGCAGAAAATAACCTATTTAGATATAATTAATTGTAGATAATTATTTTGATAAGCAAATCAAGTGAAACCATTTGGGTTTGAAACTCAGGATATATTAGTTGATATCTGGAGGGTTTTAGAATTTTTTGAACAACGTGGAGTGGGTTTTTAATTTTCAAAGTTAGCGAATAGATTGAAAAAACTTATTTAAAACTCTATTTTATCTCAAAGTCACTTTTAGTTAAGTTTCGATCGGAACCCATGTCTTGGGTGATTTTAGACCTTGAAGAACATGAACTTAGGTAATATTTAAGAGTAACGGTGAGTTGAATTGAGTTGTGTTAGTGCGCTTTAGTTTGGGGTTACTTAGTTCTTATTCTTTAATATTTTTAAATTAGTAGTGACATGTAGTTTTCATACTTGGTTCAGGGCACCAGTTGGACTTTCATACTCTATTCGAGGATTATATTATTTCATTTTCAGGTGAGTAGTTTCATGCTACATATTTTTATAAATGTTCCCCTATCCTGAACTGTTGAAAAATTAAATTATTGTTTCAGGATTAAACTGTTTTGATAAATTATTATATTATCAATAGAATCAAATTATTTCTGAAACATATGTGAACTTGGCATACTGTAAACTATTTTTTTTTGGTCTCATGTTTATAATGATGAACTACCATGTTTTGCGAAACTGATGTGTATTGATTATTGGGACCATCTGTGTATTTAGTCCAGGAAAATTATTCCACTGTATGTGGTGACTCTAGCCACTAGGGAACAGATCCAGGTTAGACCGTAATGACTCTAGTGCTCAACGATTGTAAGGAAAAGACCTAGGTTAAGCTAGGTGACCTTCAATCGGGTCGTCTTAGAGAAAAGGCCCAGGTTACCACCCTGAGGATGACTTTTAGTTCGGTATTGGATCCAACGGGGCTTATAGCTTTGAGAACTGTGTGGCATATTATTTGTTATTTTTTGGTACCCAGAAAATTATTGGTGTTCATGTTGTAATCTGTTTTAAGTGAAAAATATCATTTATCATGTTCTTGAGAGACATGAGTATTTTAACTGTTGAACTGTGAAACTTTCTTTTTGAAACAGATTGTCTTTACCAAACTGTATGTCAATCTAGTTTCTATGACATATATCTTATTTTGGAATTGAACCTTGTTTTCAAAACTGTATTTACTATCCATGTTGCTACTCACTAAGCTATCAGCTGACTTAGTTGTTTATCATTTCCAGGCGTTAGAAGGACTTAAAGTGGACTCATGGCATAGTGGGGACTCAATTGCATGGACCTGTAGGACATTCATTTATTTTGTTTTAGATTGTCATGTCAAGGTTGTGCATATTTATTTTTATTTTTATTGAGGTTCATTTAGGATTATTTTGATATGTGGACTGTTTATATCCCATATGTTTGGATGGTATTGATTACGGTTGGTTTTGCCGTTTATACTTGTGGTATGTCACTGGATTGAGTTTGGTTATTTATTATTGGACTATTGTTTAGTTGTTTAATGTGATTATGGATTCATATTTAGGCTTACGTGTGCCTTGGGCTAAGGCCCTGGGGGCCACGGCCGGTTATGCCTAGGTTTAGGGTGTGACAAGTAGGGTCCTCCATTTCTAAGTAGAGCATTAATTTACACATTGACATTGTTTTTTTTTTATATACTAATTATTTGATAAAATGCTACTAGTAGGAGTAACATGTCAATGGCTTACACCTCCATTAGTTTAAGCAACAATGTTCGCCTTTTCGAAAATCGAAGTTGCAAATGTGGGGAGGAATGAAGATGAGAGGAGGAATGATTCTAAAAGAAACAAGGAAGCTTTGGATAAATTGGAGCAAAGATTAGAGCTGCTTGAGGCAAACCAAGGAGCAATGAAATTGCTTTCAATGACAAGCATAGTGTGTGCTGGTTTTAACATGCTAATGGTGTTAATTTGTTTAATGTTCAAGTGAATGTTGTAAACTTATACATTTGGTTTTGGAATGGACGGATGGTTTTATAGAATGGTTGACGAATGAATGAACGAACCACTGTTATTAGTCACTCTAAACTTTATATACATATATATATATATATATATCTAAAATTTATTTGTATAACATTAATGAATTCTATACTCAGCTTATATGACCCAAGTCAATGGGGTGTCCCCTTGGTGGTGTTAATGTTTCATATTTTGTTACTTGTTTATTATAAATGGCTCATTTATCCAGCTTTCTAATTTTAAGATGCCAAACTATTTTGTAAACTGTTTGTTCTAAGGAAGAAGTCTTCAAATGATTTAAGCATTGGAGGGATTTTCAATATGGTATTTTACAAATGAAAAAATTATTTTTGCTCTGTTTCACTTGTGGCTGATAACTCTTTTTATGTTGGATCCAGTGATATGTAAGTTAGATGCTCCTTTGTTATTAAAATTTGGAAGCCATATATTCAGACATAAATGCTTATCAATATATCCTTGTAAACAACACATCCCTGTAAATAACCCTTGTAAACAATCCAACTGCACAATCCAACTGCACAATCCTAGTGAATTTAACTCAACCACATTAGTGTTGTCCTGTAATACATCCCTGTAAACAATCTCATACCCACCTCATCAAATATGCTTATCAACAACAATATCTACAAAATCAACTCTTGCGAGATATTCCTCATTGTCCCAAAAATAAAATTCCATACCAAAAAAAAATCACTTCTACGATTCAATCGACCATATAGCAATAGAAAAATTCACAATCCAAATTGACAATAAACATTCCCAAATTTAGTGTTGACAATAAACATTCCCAAATTTAATGTTAACAAAAATCTTTCACTTGCAACAATCTTCATCGGTCTCTAAGAATTTCTAGATATATTGGTGTAGGAGAATTTCAAATAATGTTTAGATTGGGAACCTATGAAGTAAAAAACATAATCAGAATGAGTTCAAAGCATAGAATTGAAGGATACCCACCATAATTCATGTTACATACCTGATTGTAATGTGTGCTAGTCGAGCATTGCAATGACTTAAGCAAAGTAGATCCTTAAAGTAAGGCTTGGAAGTTGGTATATTGAGGCTCTCCATTCCATGTCCAAGGCATTGAATTTGGTACTTCAGCATATTGTTGCCTCATTATGTGGGAGTATATTCAAAGATATATGTACATCCTATCAATTAAAATTTCTTCAAAAGAACTTGAATAAATTTTAAAATGTAAAGATAAGAACACAAAAAATTAAATATTACCTACATTGAAGTTGGTACTTAAATATATCGTGGCATCATATGCGGAAGAATATTTGAAGATGTTTGTACATCTTATAAAGATAAGAACTTAGATGAAGCCAAGTAGCAAAAATTGAAAAAATTAAAGAATGTAAAGATCACAAAAAAAATTAAATAATACCTGAACGCGTTGCTTTTTCTTTCTTGAAGTCTCCAGTGCCTTTTCCAAGCTAATTTGTTTCCTTCCACGAATGGGGTCAATCTTTTTCTTCAGTCCCTTCGCTTGAAAGACATTTTCACTACCTTCATTCGTTCTCATTGTAGAGCTAGCATCATTTAATTTTAGTGATCCATTGGTGATACGTATATGCAACCTATTTTGAACAAATGCAAGCAATTTTTTCCTTTCTTGAACACAATCTTCATATGTTTCTTCCAATTCAGATGCCTTGGATGAAATCATAGTAAAGAGGGAGCACAATGACTTGTATCTGCTTCTCTGTTCCAACTTAGGATCAACTTGAATGTCACGTCTTTTGTAATCTTGGACAATTTCAGCTCTTGCTAATTTGGTCTACCTTTTGAGGATATATTGGCTTGGAATTTCCATTATGATCATTTTATCTTTAAGAACCTTAATAACATGACTGCACAATATTCCTTTCATCTCAAACAACCTATAAGAACAAGACAAATTATCATATTTGTCTTTCTTCACTTCACGCATTGTAAATTGTTGATATGCTTTGACAATATAAACCAAACAATCATCCTTGTGAACACAATTTGCTACGTATAACTCAAGTGAACCCACATATTCATCTTGAAATTCTTCAAAGATAGTCTTTGTGTAAACATCTCCTGCCTGAATCAACATCATAACTTGGACTTTTATCGTAGGCAACTTATATGACAATGCATACTCACCTTCATATTCCTTATATCACTTCTCATTAAGCACCTTTTCGAAGTGACTGAAAAATTGAATGCAATTGTAATCTGATCTCAAGTACTATTTTAAATCAGCATTTAAGCTTTCACCAAGTTGTGTGCTATTCATCCCTGCTGACCATGTCTACCTAACATATGCCCTAACCCATTTTTTCCTTCAATGAAAAATGCTTTGCAACCAAGAATTATCATGAACATCAAACTCATCTAACATAGCATTTCCAAGCTGCAAAAAATTCATCTTCCTCCTCATACTCATCTATAAACTTTCCTAAAATGCTTCTTACCCCACTAGGACCGCTAAAAATGCCACTCACTCCAAAAGGTCGGCTCTCTCTATTAATCTTGTCTGTTGTATCAAATGTTACAACATCCTCAAATTAACCGTAGTCAATTATCATTCTAGCATCTGCCCAAAAAATATTTGTTATTTTCTCTTCAGTATCCAACTGCATAGAATGAAAGAATGAAGAATTTTGTATCGTTTGATCTTGAAAATACTTCAATGTGCTCCCTATTTCACCAAATTCCAACATTCTTTGTCTTTTTGTTCTTAAATAATTCTCTTGATCTTTTTTCAAATACCCAATACATTCTCTTTTACCTGCCTGTCTACCCATTAACTCATAGGATGACCTAAGAGGTATCCCACAGTCATTTGCCAAATCTATTTCAATATATTGAGAAGTGAAATTTTTTCTTTGGGAAAGAAGCATATGAGCACATGTACTTACTACAAGGGGATGGTTGTGTGTTTCTACAAAATTGATAACTCTATACTTCCCAATTTGCTATCAATTTAATGCTCATCAAAGCACCATAACCGGTCCTTGTCTCCACCCTAGGAATCCTTACAGCAAAATCTCTTTTATTAAATTTTCGAAGACCCTCCTTAGAACAAACAAATGTCCTTGAAGTAATTTCACCGGTCATACTTTTATGAGCGTATTCTTTTCTAATACTAAATCTAACTCTTCCTCCATAAGAATTATAAAAATCATAAGCTGATTGTTCAAAGTCAAATTACATACCTAGTATAGATTTACACTGTGTATCATCCTCGTCATGAACATCCATTTGGGTAGCAATTGTTAAATCATCCATCTTCGATATATGCAATACTTAAAATGCAAAAAAGTAAACATGATTTTTTATGTAAGAAATATGTGAAAGCAGTACATGGCTTAATGTTCTTAAATGATATTGAGGCTCTGTTTTACACATTAATGCTCTGTTTCATACTATCTACAAAATCAATTTTTTCTTTTTCTAAATATTTGATTTGTGGAAAAAAGATTGTTGTGACGCCCCAAATTTTTGGAACATTAAGGGAAATTAAATAAACAAAATGACTTAATAAACCAAAAAGTTGACATCTTAATAGGGTAATTGTCACCACCCAAACCTGCCCCTGTAGGTTTAGCACCGTAACCGGCCAGTAATCCGTGGATTACCGAAGGCCTCTTAACAGATAAGCATATAATAAGGGGCTGCGGAAGCAATTATACATAATAGACAAGGTCCGATGAGCTGTGATAATATATATGGGACATAATATTTCAAAACTTACATATATACATAAGCATGTCGGTCAAAGGACATCAATACTTACAAACATTTACAAAGGTGTAATTCCCAAGACCTGACTTTACAAACAGACAGAGACTGGCATAAGTACAAAACAGTCATGTAACCAGACTTCGATCGGAACCTCCTCAGGAGGCACAACGGTTGGCTGACAAAAACAGAAATGAAGGCCATCAACTCTAGCCCTGATCACGCGCCAGCTCACCTACATACATAATATAAACTGTGAGCGAAAGCTCAGTGAACAATAACAGAGTAAAGGGGTTTCAATGAATGAGTCTGTACAGATTTAAAAATCATAATTTAGTTTCACATCAGATTCGTAATTTGTCCAGATCATATACAGAAATCATAAGGTATGCTTAAGTATACGTGATACATCCCTTAGTATTAACAGAGCAGATACAGAACAGATACAGACACGTGAGGGTTACGAATAACCAGTTCCATAAAAGAACCTCCGGATCCGGGTAACAGAAAATAAACACGCTGAGCCCCCATGACGGGGCCTCCAGTACGGGTAACAGAGTGCAGACAGATTAAGTTCCATGATGGAACCTCCGATACCGGGTAACAGCCAACAGATATCACATGATGCTAAGGATGTCACGAATATATATCAGAAATTGGACAATCATTTATTGAACAGAACATATCATTTCAGAAAACAGATCTTAATTCATCACACAGAAAATAAATAAAGTTGAACATAACTTTACTATGTTATTACTCACAGTTGGCCTTGAGACAAGTAGACGGAGCAGATTGGTCAAACAGTACTCCGCACGTGACCTACATAACACATAACAGACACACACTTGAAACACACGTTCTAATTGTACATGACTTACTTCGTTGGCTCTTAGTGTGTTTCTACCCTTTAAGTCTTATTATGGAATCTTAAACATGGCCTAGGAATGCCTAAGATGGAATGAGGATGCAAGAATGCATTGGAAAACATTTCTTGAAACTTGCTGAAAATAAGGTCCACGTTCGAGCGTGGCTTTTCCCGCTCAAGCGAACATGCAGACAATGAAACTCCGCTCGAGCGTGACTTTCCCTGCTCGAGCGGACTGTAAATTCTTAAAAAGTACTGGATGCATGATTTTCACGCTCGACGGACGCTCGACCTCCGCTCGAGCGTGAGACCCAGACCTTCGCTCGAGCGTAAATTCCCTCGCTCGAGCGGACTGCAAAACACAAGAACTTCTAGGTATATGCATTTCACGCTCGAGCGTAAACATCGACGCTCGAGCGGAAGTGCATGCACTCAGAGTGCACG